CAGAGGGCACCGGCAGCGAGTGCTCAGAACTCGACCATGGTGCAGTCCAGCGACTCGTGGTCGGTGGCCTGACACAGCTGGCAGAGAGTCTCGCGCTTGGTGGTGGTGGCGGTGGCGCTGGCGCCGGCAGCGACGGGCGCCGAAACGCCCCGGCCCGGGGACATGGAGGTGGTCGGGCAGTCGAGAGTCGAATGACCAGCCGCCCCGCACAGGGCACACTCAACAAATGACCCGGCCGCCGGGGAGGGAGCCGAGTAGTCGAAGGCCGCGCGGGCCACCGGGCCCCGGGGGGCCGGGGCCGGCACCTGCGCCCGGAGCTGCTGGTTCTCCTGCTCCAGCTGGGCCACCCGCGATTCGGCCTCCGTCAGGCGGGTCTGGATCCGCGCGATGACGGCCTCCTGGAAGTCGGCGGTCGGGCTGCTGCCACCCGGAGACCCGGGGCCGGCGGTCTGCTCCAACTGGCGGATGCGCGCCTGTGCCGTGCGCAGCGAGCTCTCCAACTCGGCCACCTGCAGCGAGGCATTGGCCGACTTCTCGCTCAGCAGCATGAGCATCTCGCCGGTCTGGGTGTCGCTGGCCCGGAGCCGGTCCAGCTCGCGGGCCTGCTCCGCCAGCTGGGCCTCCAGCTGGACAGTGTGTGCCGAAGCGGTGGCCAGCTGCTCGGCCAGGCTCGACTGGTCGGACGTGGCGGCCTCCAGCTCGGCCGCACGCGCGGCCGAAGTGGCCAGGGCTCCCTCCAGCTCGGCAGTCCGGGCCGAGGAGGCGGCCAGCTGGCTGGCCAGATCGGCGGTACTGGCCGACGCGGCCACCACCGCGCTCTCCAGCTCGGCCACTCGGGCCGACGAGGCGGCCAGCTGCTCGGCCAGGCCGCTGGCAGCCTGTTCCGAAGCGGCAGCCTGCTCCGAGGTGGCTGCCTCCAGCTCGGCAATCCGGGCCGATGAGGCGGCCAGCTGCTCGGTCAGGCTGGCAAGCTGCTGGTTGGCTGTCCCGGCGGCGGCCTCGGCCTCGGCGGCGCGGGCCGACGAAACAGTCAGCTCCTCGGTCAGGCTGGCAAGCTGCTGGGCGGCGGCCCCGGCGGCGGCTTCGGCCTCGGCGGCGCGGGCCGACGAGGCGGCCAACTGCTCGGTCAAGGCCGAGCTGTCGCCGGAGGCGGCCGCGGCCGCGGCCTCCAGCTCGGCCACCCGAGCCGCCGACGAGGCGACCATGGCCTCAAGCTCGGCCACCCGAGCGGCCGTGGCGGCCGCAGCGGCCTCCAACTCGGCCACATGGGCAGTGGAGGCGGCGGCGGCAGCCTCCAGCTCGGAGGCCCGGGCCGAAGAGGCACCGGCCCCGGCCTCGAGCTCGGCCACCCGAGCCGAAGCCGCGGCGAGGGACGCCTGAAGCTCGGTGGTCTGGGTCGAGGAAGCAGAGGCAGTGGCCTCGAGCTCGGCCATCCGGGCCGAGGAGGCCGAAAGCGATGCCTCCAGCTCGGCGATGCGGCTGGCCGAGGCGCCAAGCTGCTCGGCCAGCTCGGACTGCCCGGCCGAGGAGGCCGACGAAATGGCCTGCAGCTCGGCAAGACGCGATGCGGCGACCTCCGCCTCGGCCTCCAGCTGGGCGGTGTGCTGGGCCGAGGCCGAGACAGTGGTCTCCAGCTCGGCCACCTGGGCAGCGGACGTGGCAACCAGGCCCTCCAGC